GTTCCTCTGGGAGCAGGAAAGGGGAGAGCCCTGGGGGGGGCCCTCGATTGCTCTCAGCCAGGCACCACTCACTGGCAGTGAATGAACAAGCTGTCTGGCTAGGGTTTAAACCACGACAGCAACTCATAAGGACTACTTAAAGTTCCACTTTTAGGTTGAACACAGATTCGCAAAAGGGCCAATGGGAGTGCCTGAGGCCATTTCAAATCAGTTTCCTGACATATTTTACTAATCTGTCTTTTCAATGTTTGATTCATTCTTTCTACTTTTCCACTGGATTGTGGGCTCCAAGGAGTATGTAAGTCCCAAGTAATTCCCAACATTTTACTAATGCCCTGTACCACTTTTGCAAAAAAATGTGGACTTCAATCCGAAGATATTCCAATAAGCACCCCAAATCTTGGGATAAGTTCCTGCACTACAAACTTAATGGCTTCTTTTGCTTGATTGCTCTAACAGGGAAAGACTTCTGGCCATCCTGCAGAAGTATCAACCCCTACCAAAATGTACCGATACCCGTTTTGCCAAGGTAGCTCTGAAAACTCTATTTGCCAATAATCTCCTGATTCCAGTCCTGATTTCAATATTCCCATTTGCACTTTTTTCTTTACAACTGGAATGTTTTTCAACATATTTCAGATTTTGCAGTTCTCATTTTAGCTATTTCTAGCGGTTTTACTTATACTGTGTGTCTCTTTAGAAGCGTCACTAATGCTTCTGCTCTCCAATGATATTCTTTATATTGTGCCTGTATTATTTCCCTCATTATAAGTGGTGGGATTACTACTTGGCCTTCTGCCCATCCTGCCAGATTTTTTCTTACATTTAGCAACTTTCCTAGTTTCTCTTCTTCCTGTGAGTATTTAGGTTTATCTCTTGGTAGAGCAATAGTTTTAGTAGAGATTAATGCCATTTGGAAGGCATCTCAGTCCTCCTAGCTGTTCTGTCTGCCGATTTGTTTCCTGTAATTTCTTTTGTATTTTCTCACTGATGTGCTTTACAGTGCATGACTGCCACCTTAATCGGTTTCTGGACTGCTCATAAGATTTCTTCGTTGTATTTAATACTTGTTTCCTGGGAGGAGAAATAATTCCCCTTCCTTCCACAGGACTCCATGAACATGCCTCACACCAACAGCATATTTTGAATCTGTCCAAATATTGACTTTCTTTCCTTCATTTAGTCCTAATGCTCTCATCAAGGCTATCAGTTCTATCTTTTGAGCAGAATTTGCTTCTATAAAGAATTCTCAGGAGTCACCGCATTTCTGGCATATCTAATTCCATCCTGTACAAAACTGCTACCATCTGTGTATAATTCACAATCAGTATCATCCAGTGGTCTATCCTTTAAGTCTTATCGACTGGAATAGACATGTTAAGTGGTCACCAAAGAGTCATGTTCTAATTGTCCTTCTTCCTGCACAGAATTCAAATGTCTCAAGGGCTAATCAGGTTAGCTGTTTTCAAAATGACATCATCTGTCAAAATTACTTAGCATTTCATCATTTTGCTAGGGAATAACCACTGACCACCCTTTTAGTCTGAAACATTAATTACCATGCGTGGTACATACACTGTTATTTCCTTCCCAAAGTTAATTTTCGAGCTTCTTGTATTAACCTCACTGTAGTGGAAACTTCTCAGAGACAAGTAGGCCATCATTTACTTACAGTGTCTAATTGTTTGGAGAAATTAACAACCGCCCAACCGGTCTTTTCCAACTTCCTATTTTCTCAAGTCAGCACCCCAAGTGCAAGATGTTGTCTTTCACGAACAAATAACTGAAAATCTTTGGTTAGGTAGACACTTTGTACCCATTTAGTCCAAGAAAATATAAAAGGTCTATTGTTATCTTGATACAGGTTGGTCTTTTCTGTAGCAATCAAGACGTCATCCACCTATTGTAGAAGCAAATGTCCAGGTTTAGGTTCTGTATCACTTTGCTTCCACCATTCCAGCTCTTTCACCAACTGGTTGCTGAAGACCATTGGACTTTTTTGAATCATTGTGGCAGTCTTGTCCATGTTAACTGTGGTTTTCATCCTGTTTGTGGATTTTCCCACTCAAAAGCAAATAATTTCAGCTTTCCTCCTCCAGGGGTATACAAGATTCCTTTAATCAAGCACTGTAAACCACTGATGATCCTCTCTCAATGTTGTTAAAAGAGTATATGGATTTGCAGCTACAGGGTGTATGTCTTTTAACTATTTGATTTATAGCCTTTAAAACCTGAACTAATCTATATTTACCTGAAGTTTTTCTTACTGGTAAAATTGGAGTATTATATTCTGACTCACACTCTTCTAGAATCCCAAACTTTAAGAATTTATCAATCAATGTCTTGATTCCTTGTCTAACATCTGGCTTTCCCGGATATTGTTTTACTCTCACTGGTTTTGCCTGTTCTTTCAACTCTATTTTTACAGGTTGTGCCATTTTTGACTTCCAGAGAACAGTGACTTCAAGAAACACGGCACTGGATTTCAAGCAGCAAAGCAGCCCATGGTAACATAAAGGCTAGTTTCTTAAATCAAGATGTTCCTATAGGTAACTGTTTCGCAAACAAATACAAAATATAGAAAGAATCAGTAAAACTTAAGATATTCTTCAATAGCATGGGTGATTCTCTTCTTACTTACCCTATAATTCCCTTGATAAAATTTAATGGCCAGTTGCAATCCTGTTATTTGGGGAAATGTCACACTATCTTACATTAGACACCTTAGTATTCAGTGCTTATTTACATCTTACTCAAGGTACTGAAAAGACAGTTGTCTTTCCAATAACTACTGGTAGGCCAGCAAAACTATAAATGTCCTTTCTTCCTCCAGTTATGTGTTAGACTTGCATAGGGAAAAACCCTAAATTATTATAATTGCAAAGGAGCAGTGGAACACAGTGAGCCCTGTATAGACATAGCAAGCCGGCTTGCTATATAAATATGGGATAAGGAACAAGTGCTTACAATCTGAAAAGGTGGGGAAAGGTAGTAACAAAGAGCTAACTGATTTCAGCACACTACTGAATACCAAAAAATCAAACACCAATAAGACACAGTAACTGCCTAGGTCTGAGAATACTGCATACAGCCAGCTGAGCACAAGCCACAGAAGAAAGATTATTTTATCATTTTTAGCTACTCATTTTAATTTGTTATAAAAAACCTCACTTGGAGAGAGGATTTTGCCACTTCTTTACATCACTCCTACAGATATCTGACAGTTTCTCAGCTTCTCTCAGAAACTTAACAGACGATTATCACAATTGGTGTCAATGAATAAAGGCTGAGGCTTAAAACAAGGTTTAATGGTTAAATGAACCTTTTACTTTCATTTTGTGCACTATAATTTTAAACTAAAAATTACTTACAAGGGAAGATTATTTTTAAGAGTACTGTAAACTAATTTCTTTGGACAGAAGAAACTGAAGTCGAATTACAACCTCACTCCTACCCCCATATCTAAACATTATATGCAGAGATGGTTTGACACAGTACTTTAGTGGCACAGGAAAACTTCCAAACCTAAGGTGAAGGTGAAAGAACATTATTCCTTAATCACATCATGACACTTAAATATAACAAAAGGGCTCTCTGCCTCCACTTTGGCACACTATATAACCTGAATGATCCAAAGCAGGCAATCTGGCCTACATACTTTTACTATTTCTGTGGGTAAATATGTAACATTTATGTTGGTTGGGTTTATTATTTGCATGTTAAGTCTTTGACTTACTATGAAAAATAGTGTCCCAATAATAAACTACTCATTCGATCTCTCTTTTTTTATGGTACTCTCTCTTTCTTATTCTTCTTAAAATTTGGCTTAAGTACTTCTCTTGCAGTAATAGACTTTTAGGATTAAAATACTTGTCCCAAGAAGGAGCATGGAAAAGAGAAGAATTCTTTAAATTGTGCCTCATTTTGGCTGTGACTATCCACTCCCTCCTGGATTCAACTGAACTGGTGCAGGACTTTTTGCCACTTCCAGCTCTTGGTTACTAACCCTCTCTCAGAATTACTATCCCACAGCTAGGTGTAAATTTTGCAAACAGAGTAATTTTGCAGACAGCAGCCAATATCCTCATCTAAAGGTATCATCTCCAGCCTCTGGAGTGTTCTGCTAAATACTCCCTCAACTGCTTCAGCCATAAGATGGTCAATCACTTCAAGAGGGAAAGCCCATCAGGGAATGCTTACATTTACCACAGAGGTGAAAGACAACTTCTTTCCTTCTGAGGGAAGGCAACAGCAAGCAGCTGGAGGCAAGATCACCCTAAATCAACACAGATGCTAGCTAAACAAGCATCTATCAACTAAACATCTGGAAACCATGTAGTAATTGGGCAGTAGCCATCTGTGAAATTTCCAGAGGGGAAAGCAGATTAGCAGATTTCACGTATGGGAGAGGTGAGCCACTAAAGTTCAGTGAGGAAACAACTCTGCAGACATGCACCAAAAGAGGAGAGCTTAAGGGTCTGTCCCCATGGCATCCTAATGAACAGGTGAAGACACTGCTAAACAAGATCACTTGCTTATCGGAGCACATCTAGCTATGGCAACATAATCCAGTTATGCAAAGAAAGCCATCCTACATGGGATGTAGGTCTACCTCAGTTCCCTATCTCCAATGCAGTGCTACTTTGAGCTGCAATTTCAGTATTGCCTTTGACTGGACTGTATTCTGCATAGTGTTTCTATATCTTGGGAAATGATGCCTGTCTTGGAGCAAAGGAAAATGCACTGTCAAAAAGCCTCCTTACCAAAGGTACACATTGCATAGTACTCTTTAAACATTATCCCCTACTGGAGAGTGTTTGACCATCTCACTGTTGTTCTGCAAGACTGCCCCTGAGGGTTGCTCCCATAATAAATAAAGAAACACACCAAGGTCACTTCTGGGGACATCAGGACATGCTTGAAACACTCCCCAAACAGCTACACTTTATGTCATGTCTGCTCCTGTGTGCAACAACTATCCCAAAGCACCTGCAACATACCTGCTATAGCCATTTGGCACATATCATCCATGCCAAAGCTTGCTAATGGTTGTTTTTGGACTCAGTACCTCACCAGTAATATGGACGTTTATAATTCCTACTAGACTTGCAAAGTGGTGGGACCATAGCATCTTTCAGATGTGGGGTGACCAACAGCAGGCCTTTCATTTCTGGATGTGAAGAGACTTTCCATAGCTTCATATCAAGAGCTAGAACAAGCTGTCAACAAGGATAAACTCATTTCCAAGTCATAGCCTACTTCAAAAGCGGGTGGAAGCTCAGGAACGTGGCCACATAATCCCTACAGACCTGCTGTAGGACTGTATAGTTCAGTGAGGGAAATTCCTCTAGGGAAATTTAGCATCACTGTCCTGGAGCTGGTTTAACTACCTGCACCCCGAACACAAATACTGCCTTTCAGAAATACAGCACACGTAATTGTGCTGGGGGTTGCTGATGGAAAAAACATTCCCATCAAAATGCATCTTCTCATTTCAGAGGCCCCGCAACGTTACCTTTCAGGGTACACCCCCAAACCAGAAACAAGGCATCCATATGATCACATAATGAGTATTTGCTTAAATAACTCAAAACTGCACTAAGCTTCAGAAACGCACTGATTTTGAGCATTCCTGGGGTTTTACTTGAGTTTGACCATTCCAGGAAAAGATAGTTTCCTGGCCCTTTGTCACAGCAGTACAGTCAGTAGCGAGGATGGATAGTTGCATCTTCCTGCTTTACACAGCAGCCCTATAGTACAGGCAATTTTGTACCATGCCCGAAAAGTGCGACTATCAGAGGCAAACAGTACACCAATACCTTGCTGCCACTAGATGGCAAAAAGCACACACGGAAAGTAGCAATACATCTCTGAAGATGACTATTAGTCTCTACTCACGGCAGTCCCTTGGGTATAAATAGGCAGGAAGGCGACCAGGCAGCACAAAAGCCCTGTCCAAGCATGCACTGTGCCTTTGGAATAGCTGCACTGCGTCCCAACGCTGTCTAATTATCCACCTCCCTCTGCATCGAGTTGTGTTGTAACGCTAGCTACCAAGAACAGAAAAGAAAGGCTGAGACTGGAGCCTCCACCGGAGGCACGGGGAAGCTTTGAAGAAAGAGCTCGGTAGGGCAGAAGTCTGGCTGCAAGAGACTGTGAAACTCTGAGAGAGCGCAAAAGAAGGGAGCAAGGGGAAATCCTCTGCAGAAGGATTTACTCTGCAAGACTCCTTGTTGTCTTGTGCAGTGATTATGGGACACAGCATTCGATGCAGAGACTTAACTGACAAAAAATCACCTCACCCACCCACCTTAGCCTGAGGACATACTGCACTGGAAAAACACTGGCAACAAACACTAATTACCACAGGGATGGTGTCACAAAACTGAGCGTTTAAGATCACTAAAAGAATCACTGTCAGAGATATTAATAAAAGTAATTTTAATATAAATTTAGAAATGTGTGACTCAACAGAATTCAATGGCAAGGTTCACTCTATTACCTACAAAAAGAGATTGTGTCTGAACTGGTAATGATTTATACATGATTGGATTAAAGTGATTATACAGAGTTGAATTGAAATGTGTACAGAAACCGAAGGTACAAAAGAACAAGGCAGACCCTCCTGTTGTTATAAAACTTCGTCTCAGCCATGGTCTAATTCAATTATTTTATTACAATTGATTAATATCGAGAGGCAATAAGCAAGCAGCGCTGGGTGGGCAGGGGAGCCCGCTCCACCAAAGACGCACACCGAGGTTTCTGGGGCATAGTCTCTTATACTCCTCTGTCTCGGGTTTCAGCCAATCCTGTCATCTCCTTCACCCGAATATTGACGTGGTTCCTTTTCATTGTTCTCCTCCTGTTGCTGGGGTCTTATCTTCGGGTGAAGAAACTTCTTAAAAAGTTACTGAATTCCTTGGTAATGCATTAACAGGGGATGTCTATCACAAGCTTAACCACCATCTTAGACCCCCTAAATTCCATTTCTTATATAGTTACTTATTCAATACACAAGTTTCACCTCATCCTGTGACAGGATGTATCTCTTGATTACCTAACCCCCTTAAGGCATTCAAGCAGTTAAACAAAGTACCCCTTTAATTACCAAAGCGTTTGAGACATTCAAGTAGTTAAAGTATCCCTTAAAGTAACAAAGCATTTGATTAAGAAGGATTATTCCTTTGTTTCTTCTTCTCTTTCATCATTGTATTGACAGGAAAATCTAATCATTCTTATACATTTTACAGATGATACAATGCTTTCAAGGATTTTCGATTCCACCCAAAGTACAATGATGACAAGTACTCCTAAATTGCCGACACAAATCGTTCCTATACATCTCACAATTCCCCCCTTTGTTTTTATGTAACTTATTGATTCGTGTCTTGGCCTCCAATTTCATAACTGCCTTTTGAGCAGCGGATAATATTGGAGTCGTCTTTGTTTTTAATACCATCAATGAGTGGGTTCCTCCCTTATTTTCTGGTTCCAATGGCATGAATGTTAATTGCATGTTTTGTACAACTGTATGTATGAATCTGGTGAAACATGGGATTATACGTGGAATAATTAATAGTCCTCCAAATATTCCCAATATCACTATACCAATTTTAGTGATACAGTCCCCATTTAAAAATTGTCCCCAAGATCCTAATCCTCCTAAACTGATTCCATTCCAGGTTGGTACTGGAACATGGGCTATCTTTTTCACTTCTCTCACAAGCTCACTTATGGCTATTCCCTCATCATGTATTTCTAAACAGCAATTACTGAGTTTGAATCAGGAAAATCTAATCATTCTTATACATTCTACACATGTTACAATGATTTCAAGGATTTTCGATTCCACCCAAAGTACAATGATGGCAAGGACTCCTAAATTACTGACACGAATCATTCCTATATATCTCACACTGTTGAGTCATGAGGCTCAGACCAGACCCCCTTGCTTCCTAAACTCCTGATGGAGCCTAGGTGCGGTGGAGCTCGTCCTAATCTCAGACTGGGACAACAGTTTATGTCTAATGGAATTTAAAAGGAAATCAAGATAGAGGAATTAAAGGTGAAAAGGGTAAGGGAAATGCTCCCATGGAGTCACAAGGATCAGACTGGACCCTGGCACAGAAGGTTGTGTGAATGTGCTTATTCATCACCTTTCAGGTCCCTTATTGCTTGAGCAAGTGTAGGTCTTTCAGAGAACAGAATGTGATTCTGTGAAGAAAAAAAATAAAAAAATCTTTGACTTTATTTTAGCTGCGTGTCTTGAGGTTTGAGCCCTCCTTGGCTAAAGGAGGGTAGCCCAGAGTTTTCTTACACAGGTGATGTATCTTTCAGAAGAAGCTATGTAAACACATGGCATTCACAGGTTGCTTTGAATCCCTAATCCTGAGAAGTCCTAAGTGTTGGTAACTCTTGCTGCTCCTTGCAGGTAGTGTCACTTCTTAGAAGCAAGCTCCAAAAAACCTCAGATCAAACGATGCTCTTGTTTTGGATGCTCTTAATCCCTTTCACTTTCAAAATCGAATAATAGTCATAGACCTGGAGGGTAACTTTGCGGAAGTGTTACTACCAAAGATGACTCTCTGTATATTTCTGAATGTTTCAGAACTAGAAAGCAACTATCAGAAGCCTATGCTAAGATCGGTCAGGAGTGCCGTGGGAAGAGATTACCATCCACAAGCAGCAGTGACAGTGAAGATCTGTCTGAAAGTCCAGTTCAGTCTTCAACTGAACTGGGACATCTTGGCAACACTTTGACAGAGAACACAAGCCTGTGTGTAGGAAAAACCGTCCGAAGCACGACCAGGTCCTATCAATAAACGAGGCTGAAGCCTATGTGGAAAATACGGTAAGCATTTTGAAATAGTGCTCTCAACTAGTGCTAAAGCGTATCCATAAGCAAAGTTATGGTTTTTAGCCTAACGCTAGAATCCATTTATAGATCCAAACTGTATGGTCTAATATACTGAAACAACTGCTAATGACCAGTTTGCTTCTGACAGGTGACTCAGGAGGAAGTTCTGTGCCAAGCTTCCTGGTCCTCAGCAGCCCTCCCTCAAGGCGAAGGAGTCTGTTATGACACACAACCCACTGCTATAGCAATGGGAGGAAGATGACACTTCTGAGTTGCTAAGACCCAGCATTTAATTCAAGTATTTTTGTTCCAACCTGGCATTTAATAAACTGTGCAGTCTATCATGTGTCTTTGTTTTCTTCTGCTCCCCCTTCTGGGTCTGTTTCTCCCGTCCCCTGCTCATGCTGCTGTCCCCTGTTTTTCCCTCTGCTTGCTTCTGGTACAGACTGCTGCAAAATGGTGACAGCTGCTAGAACCGTTGTGACTGACATTTTAGAACTGCAGCATTTTGTCACAGAGTTTGAGTTCTTTGGACTTTGCTGCTATGGAGAGCAGAGCTGTATTTTTGAAGCAGCCTTCAGGCTCTCTTCCTGGGCAGACTGTTAAGAGTTCTCCGTCTGCTCTTGCAGTCAGTCATGCAGACTTCCTTGAAAATGACAAAGAAGCAAGGCCTTAAGTCTGAGGAAGAACTCCCCTCTGCTCACTTCAGTTCCATTCACAGACATCACAATCCCCACCCCGTCGCCAGGCAGTGGCGCTTGCGCGAGGCGGGCCGTTGCATGAGGGAGGGCGGGTCCCTGAGCCGGTAGTGGCCGGCGGGAGAACGAGCTCCGCCTGGAGCAGTTGTACCGTGCCGGGGCCGCTACCGGATGTTCGCTCGGGACCCCGCCCAGCTCGAATGGTGCTTCCTGATGTTGCTCCCCTGAGGCGGGCCCGTGCCCGCGTTCCTGCAGCGGCATGAAGAGGATCTTCGGGTTCGGGAGGAAGAAGGGGCAGCAGCCTCTCGGCAGCGCCTCAACGCCCCCTGCCGCCGGTGCATACGATCTCCGGAAGAAGGACTTGGGCAAGCTGCACCGCGCGGCCGCCTGCGGCGACCTGGCCCAGGTGCGGCAGGGGCTGAAGAAGCATGGCGTCGACGAGCGGGACAAGGCGGAGCGGTAAGGGGGGAACGGCGGAGGGAGAGAGCTGAGGCGGGGTCGGGGAGGCTCTGCAGTGCCAGGAGCAGCTGCAGCCCCCGGCAGCAGCTCAGCGGCGCTGGAGTCGAATGGCCGCAGCATGCGGGGAGTGAGAGTCGTTTGCAGCCGAGCTCAGCCTTCGGCTGGGTGTGGGAGTCGGTCTTGCGCTGGCAGAAGCCCTTAAATTCGGCCTGGCGTCCAGCTGTCGCCTTTTTCCCCGGCCTTCTTTGCCGGAGTCCTACTTCCTTGCTTGGGGCGCAGGAATGGAAGGGAGCAGCC